AAGTAGAAGTTTATAATCCCACAATTCAGCAGACGTTGGTACACTCAGACAACTATGGGAAAGAAAAATGAAGGAAGAGTAGCATCTCCTAAGATGGGTCTGAATCTAAACACTTCAGTTCAGCTGGTGACTGACTACATGAGATATATTTTATTTCATGTCCTTTGGGTATCTGTCAAAGTTCTGATGCTAAACATAGATCAAAACAAAAATGGGCTCTTTCAATAAGGATTAAGAATAGAATAAAAGTCACTGGTGCGTGTATTGATCAAGTGAACAAGTCAAACGAAGATGTCCCTCTCAATCATCTTCCCAATTACAAGAGAAACCTGACATATGATACAGGAAATAAACAGGCTTCAGCAAGAAATGAAGTAATAGAATAAGGAAAGTTCCAAGACGGAGAAAGAAAACCCCCCACAAAACTGGACTAACATACAGCTGCTGCAAAACCACAGATATTGTCAAGGATTTAGAAAATACTAGAAGGGAATTAATTGGTTTTGGAAAACAGCTCTAATTTCACATTAACAATGGTAGAGGTACACTGGCACCATATATCCAGCTCCTGGTTTCAATGCAAATGTAAGGATCATATCCAGAAAAAAAGGAGTCAAGGGAAAGTGTTCTCACCACAAATAAATAATTTTGTGAAGTAATGAAAGGGCAGTGAACTTGATTTCGCCATTCTTCAGTGGAAATGGCGAAGATGTTCACCAAACATCAAGCTGTATTCTACAAATACATAATATTTGTCAATTTAAAAAAGGGGGATGGGGGAGCCATGGGGAACAGCTGAATTTCTACCTTACCAGAAGTCAAAGAGTCTAAAATTAAATTAGATTGGTGAATGAGAACCAGAAATTATTTTAAAGTGGAGCCAAGGTCCCACATATAATGTCGGAGGCTAAGTAACACCCACAACTTTCCTCAAATAATGACAACATTAAAAACTATACAAATGTCAGTTTTGTTTGTTGAGTGTCTTTTATCTTCCAGGTTCTACTCTAAGTATACTCCCATGTAAACTCAGGAATCAGCATAACATCCTCAAGGTAGGGGGCCTTTTAAAACAAACACAATTAACACTATCCTTTTATAAAGTAAAAAGTCCAAGACACAAAAGGTTAAGTAACTATTCTAAAATCATAGCGCTTAGAGGACAGGAGAAATAGAAGCTGAAGTCAGGTGTAAGGCTACAAGACAGTATTCCTATTGAAGTGACCATACTGGTGAAATTCTGCTCTCTCAGAGACTATATATTACGATGCTATGATAACATGGAAATTATGTTAAAACCAAGAGATCTGGGGTTATTTTCAGATTACAACTGGAAAAAAAGGCTCCTGGTTATCTCCACCCCTTCCTGCTCACTGACCTGCATCCTTTCTTCCTCTTCCATCTGCCTCTCTTAAGAAGATGAATGCCAAGCAAATGAGTTTTCATTAATTGTTGACAATCACTGAATACAAAGGATGGTTAATAATTGCTCACTGAACTGAATTCAGCTGAACAACCACAACAAAAACACCAAGAGAAAAAAATAGTTAAGGTTCCGAAATGAAACACACAGCCTCTGGTAATAAGTATATGTGGACCCATCAGATCTTTTTTAAAGCCAGGTCTGCTCCATATTCCTCTCAGTTTCCCTTCCCCAGAATCTCACTTTTCTCTCCTCTTAGCCATATCCTTCCTTCACTGGTGATCAAAGGAAGGGCAAAGAGGTGAGGAATAATTGCAGTCCCTTCAGTCTAGACCACGGCCTATACTTTCTCAGCTCTGGTCCAGGAGATGGAAGAGGTTGGAATGGGTATGTAAAATCCTCTACCTCTACATTATTCCCCAATGTACAAATGCTTAGAAAGGCGTGAAATTAGCCCAGCTTGTCAATCATGGAGCCCAGTTGGACTCTGGCTAAATCTATCTAAGTGGAAATGGGAAGCAAACTTTTAAAAATTAAACTGAATGAGAAACCTTTTCCTCAGGGCAGGAGAGGTACCTCTAATTGACTTCTCACTAGAGTGAAAGTTCACCAATGGCCCCGGGCCTTACTCCTCTGAAGAAGGAAATGAAAAGGTAGGCCACAGGCCACCCAAGCCAGAAACCAGAAACACACTCAAATAAATGCTGCAAAATCAATTTGCCAGCAGCTTGCTAATGAGGAACATCACACACCCAACTCTCAGTGCTTTTAATTTCTAATAGGTGTTTCAACTATCATTAGCTCTGAGATTTCAGGACAGCCATGGAACAACCTTTTAAAAAAAAAATCTTACTTGAATGTACTGAGGAAAGAGAGGTAATGGTCTAGGAGAGAGGTAAAACCCATAGAATCTAGGGTCACGTGCCCTATAACCTAAACGCTGGTTTGACCTCTGTCCCCCAAAGAAGCTGTCCCTGTTACCTTAAGACACAGAAGAGGCATCTGAATCCCCCAAGAAAAACTATAGCAAAACATTTAACCGAGTCTAAACATTTACCTGACGCCCCCCTTCCTGCATGGCATTACCAGAGAGCTATTATTCAAATGACAACAGCAATATCACCCCCAAATGAGGGCAAGGATACAGAATAAAAAGAAGTGGCAGCAGAAGACCTGCCAGGCAAATCCTCTGAATTAGCCAGCACCTGTTTCGTGATACCCCAGGGCTGCCTGCATCTGAGAGGGGAAGCCAACAGGTTTTGATTCCTTACAAGGTTCTTCCCTGTAGTGTGAGCCCTGGATAAAGTCTTAACATTTCCCCACCCCTTTGATTTTCCTGATGGTGAAATGGAAATCACTGAAGCCTGTAACAAATCCCCATGTTGTCCATAAAATGCTCTGTAACACTTAAAAACAAAAAAGCTACGATTTAAATTCAAGGGCACCAATGAAAATGAAGCACAGATAAAAAGGAAAAAAATAAGGTAAAAGTAACTTACCTTTCAATAAATTGCTAATTCAGCCAACAAGAACATGACAAGATTTTCAATATTATAATAATTAAGGAAATGCAAACCAAAACCACAATGAGATACCACCTCATACTCAGTAGGATGGTGACTATTAAGAAAACAGGAGCTTTCTGAGGGCTGAACACATGGAGGTGCTGGGAGGAGCATGGAACATAGGCTATGGGGACATACCCGTGCCCTATGTATGCATCTCTTCCACCTGGCTGTTCCTACGCTGTATCCCTTATAATAAACTGGTAAACACTTGGGCTCTAAGAAAAGGAGAAGAGCACAGATTCTTCTTCTCTTCAGATCCACATACTGATCCCCACGATAACTAGTGACCTGAATACTGAATTTGAATAAGGTGGCCCTGGTCACTGAGATAACAACCTCTCTGAGATCTGGACCATGCTCTTGGTCCTGCTTTGCACCCCCTGCAGGCTGCTTGTGCACAGCAAGGACATTTCCTGAAGGGAATTCATAAAACAGCACTACCTGATCCCAAGCTGAGAATTCAGAGTACAAAGGTCATGTCCTCATGAGGGAGAAAGAAGCTCTGAAAGACAAGAGCTCTCACGTGTTTACCTATACTGCAAGATACAAAACTGAGCGTGTATGTACTGACAAAGGGAATGACCTCTACAGACATGCATATGCATGGACCCACAATGCTATCAACCTATTGAGTGTTACTGGGAGAATTCAAAAAATAGCAGAAGCTTCAATTACATTGAATTCCATTGTTGCATGGATGAGGATGTTGACAGCATAGAGGATAGGGAGATGGTGGAGCCTATCTGCATCTAGAAGGTCCTGCCCACATCCCCAGGTTTTGGTACAGTGTCCAGGGCTTCCCAAAGTAGCATCCCTATGTGAATAGTTCCTGCCACTTTCTACTTTGCATTTACAAGTCAATGTTTTCCAACTACTTAGACTTATGTATCACATCATTTCTTGATACTATGACTTTGCCTATGTTGTTTCTCTGCCTGGAATATATGTCTGTCCTCATTTACTTAACTTACTCCTGCATTTTTTTTTAAATTCAGTTTTTAAAAAAATTCACCTCTCTTTTTGACCAACCCAGGGCTTTTCCTGATATTTTCCTTCTACCAACTCAAGCTGAATGACCTTCCCTTCCCTAAATTATATTTTTTTAAGCTCAGAAAATAACAAGTGCTGGTGAGAATACGGAGATACTGAAACCCTTGTGCACTTTTGGTGAAAATGTAAAATGAAGCAGATGCTGTGTAAAACAGTATGACAATTCCTCAAAGGTTAAAAATACAATTACCCTATAATCCAGCAATTCCACTTCTGGGTGTATTCCCAAGAGAAATGAAAGCAGGGTCTTAAAGAGATATTTGTATACCCATGTTCATAGCAACATTAGTCACAATAACCAAAAGGTAGGAGCAATGCAGGTGTCCACTGATGGATGACCAGATAAGCAAAATGTGATGCATATTACAAAGGAATGTTATTCAGCCTTACCAAAAATTCTAATACATGTTACAACTTGGATGAACCTTGAAGACATTATGCTAAGTAAAATAAGTCACAAAAGTACAAATACTGCGTGATTCTATGTATATGGAATATCCGGAGCACTCAGATTCAGAGACAGACAGCAGAATGGTGGTTGCTAAGGAATGGGAGGAGGGTGAATGGGAAGCTAGTGTTTAATGAGTTTAAGTTTTGCAAGAGGAAAAGAATTCTGGAGATGAGTGGTGGTGATGGCCGCACAGTAATATGAATATACTTAACGTCATTGAACTGTACATTTGAAGATTGTTAAGATGGCACATCTCATGTGATGTATATTTCACCACAATAAAAAACTGAAGAAAAAAAAAGTAAACAGATAACTCGGATTGTTCTTCCCCTCAAGGAAAACAAACAAGTATCCTGCTTGAGTAGGTGGAGAAAGTAATGAAGAAAGGAACCACAGGACACTGAGAGAAAAAACAACACATATCGTAAAGCTTTTCAAACTCTAGGCTCAGCTACATAACAGTCTTACCAGTGACATCCACCCCCAGGAGCCACAAGAAGCTACTCACCTCACTGAGGTAAATAAAAAAAGAGCAGGTGGACCCATCCACTCCGTAGTCTGCGTAGCAGGGATCTGAACGCCACATGTCTTTCATCCACTGAAACAATAAGAGTCAGATAAGAACATCTCTGAGTGGCTGTTCTCAGGGCCCCTGCACTCTGGTGATGGGGAAAGTAAAAGGTGAAGATGGGGTGAACGGCTCAAGCTGTGGCCTAAGGAACTGAGCTGAGGTCAGGATAACCACATGCTCAACTCAGCTCCTGGATGAACAACAGGTAGACATGGGCTTGAGCAGGCCCTTAAGCAGACGTGCGAGAGTGGAGTGAGGTCCTGAAACACATCAGACAATAAAGCCCAGGAGAGGCAATGACTACGAGTTGGACTCTGGCATCTACATCCCCTCTGGAAACTACAGTTGCAACAGCCCAGAGCCCAGCACCTGGGATGCAGACCATGTGAACCAGGGCATGAGTGAATGTTTACCTCTGGCCCACAAGAAGATCATAAAAACGCTTCTGGTATTGGCCTCACCATCCTAACTGCATACCTGAACCAACAACTTTTCCCTGAAAACTACAGAGGAGGTAGAAGTATCCACAAGGGTAGGCCATACAAACAGGAGTTTTAATGTTAAGAGTAAAACAACTTCAATTCAAAAAAAAAAAAAGACTACAACAGCAGCCAAGTAGATACTCAAGCACTAATATAACAGTGGCATTTAAACCACAATTTGGAGACCTCTGGGGACTTGGGGAGATGAGAATTGGACACTAAATAAGGGCAGCTCCTTGTCCTTGGTCCTCAAAGGATCATCTGATGAAGGCTGGAAAAGAGAGAAGAGAGGAGAGCTTTAAAGACACACCAGGAACCTGAAACACCCAGTGTCTCTCAGGCTGACCAGTGAGAGTTATTGCTGACCAGCCCCATGGAGTTGGCATAGGCAGAGGAGGGTTGTCATGGCCACAGTCTAAGCTGGCAGGACCGAGTCACCCTTTAAATGACCTGCTTCAAGGGCTCACTTGCTCATTTGTATCACTGGTAAGGAAAAGGGAGGAAAGGGGAAAGGAGGAGGTGTTAGTGCAGATCGGGGATGATGAAAATGAACCCACGTATCTTCTGCCTTACCTTGATCTTCCCCTCACAGTGGGGATAGCCATCCATAGGAGGCAATACACATTTTTCTTGAGCTCCGTTAATGATATCTGTAAAGAACAGAAAACAACAAGGTACCATGAAGTCTGTAGAACACAAGCCAAACGTTGTTGTAAGCTGAGAAACAGGGAGAGAAATCAAAAAGAAATGTCTGTGTTAGCTACTCTGCTGTAACCCACGGAGCCCCTCTATCTCCAAACATATCTGATTGGTCTGCAGTAAGGACTGACCTGAGGATAGCCTACCTACAGGCTGGCCAGAGACCTACAACATGTATAGCCCAGCTCAAACGGGTTAGGAAGGCCAACCAGAGTGCTTGCTTGGCAATTTGCAACCGATAAACTGAGAAACCAAACAAGTAGGGAACAGGGAATTAAGCCATGAGATTAGGAGGGTCCACCAGGGCTGGCAGAGTCCCTCTAGGCTCTGCAGGCAAGCTGAGGTCATGAGCAGACCTCGGAAAACATGTGCATGAGCTAAGGAAGCCAGCAGGAGAGGGATAGGTGACTAGCGCTGGAGTACAATGGAGCAGAGAGGCACAAGATGGATCTGCGCCATTCTTAGGAAATCCTGCTCTGGTTCCCTGAGGTACAGCTTTGTACAGACCCAGTTCTTAGCTTTCCATGAAGGTCTCCTTACTGCTTTAAATATTTCCTCACAACTCCCTTTGTATTAGCTAGCTCAGTGGGTTCCTATACCTTGCAACTGCAGAGTCAAAACTAGAACAAATGCCTTCAAGAAACTTGCAGTCAATTTTTTGTAATAAAAACATCCAATATTCTCGTCCTAGCTATTTGGAACTATATATTGTTAAGTAAAGTCATCCCACAGTATTATAGAACACTAGAATTTATTCCTTCTATCTAGCAGTAAAAAAAATGATGTTTGCCATGATGGATATGCTAATTACCCTGATCTGATCACTATACATTTTACGTATTACATCATGATGTATCCCATAAATATGTGCAATTATTATATGACAATTTAAAAAAATTCTAACCTTTTGTACTCAGATGTCCCCTCTGAGGGGACACCATAAATCTAGCAAACCACTTGGATGTCCCCTCTTGGGGGACATAAAGTGATTGCTGATTATATAGGACAAACTTATGCCAGAGCAAATTTTTCAAAAACATATGTTTCCTTGAAGTTTTCCATTCAAGCTGCATGAAAAAGCAAATAGAGGGAATATATACTGATATATATGTAAAAAAAAAATCAGCTGGCGTTATATAGAAAGAGAATGTGTGAAGAGTTTTCACAGTGGTGTATAGACTGCACAATAAATTATGTATTATTAATATGGGGAAAAAAAGAGACTGCATTGTCTGTTCAAATAGAAAAACAGGTGGAAGACATCAAACAAACTACTAATGCACAACATGTATCAGTGAACCTGCAATGCATGTTGGTGACTATTTCACACATTGATATTTTGTCATAAATAAGTTCCTCTATGACCAAAATTCCATTAGAATCCAAGTATCATTACAATAATATAATTGGTCCCAACACTATAATATTTAATATGCAGTGATTCATTTTTCACTATTTTGTATAAAAGTGTGATCAAGTTGCTAGTAGTTGATCCATGAGATGTCTCTGAGTACAAAGTGCTCAAGAAGCTCTACTGGTGGACAATAAATGAACACCTGAAAACAATGTAATAGATGTTATGTCAGGGCTGGGCAAGGGAAAGACACTCTAAGGATTAGAGAAGACCTCCTGGATCCAGTGTCATCTTGGCTGGGATGTGAAGATGATGCAGGGTGAACAAGACAGAAGGACAATCTAAAGATGATGTTCAAGGAACTGCGATAATCCCAAATGCAGGGACAGACTTAGGCTGGGACAAAGAAGTGTGAGGTCCTGAGAACTCAGATAGGAAAAAACACAGTCAGGGCCCAAACGGTAAAGGCTTCAAATGCCACAATAAGGACTTTGATCTTTATCCCAAGAACATTATGGGACAACACAAGATTTTAAGGAGGGGTTGGTTATAACCAAAATTTTATGTAGGAATGATTATTTTAGTTGGACAACAGGACAACCCTAAACCTCCATGCTTCTTTTTTCAGACCTATTATATTTTCTAGAAATGCTTGGAAAATGTCATCATTATTTACTTCTGACAGTTTTTTATACAAAGTATTAATCAGAAATTCAACCCAAAACTGCAATATTATTTGACAGGGGGTAAACAATAACTCATGGCTTTTGTGTCTGAAACAGAAGTTAATGCTAGGGAAGATTTTACCTGACCCTTGAAAACCAGTTCTTCTGCTGATAGTTTGTAACAGAAATTCTTGACCTCCTGATTCAGTGTTTTCAATGAGCCTTCTACTTGCTAAAACTAACTAGAGCATAAAAATAAATATCCTTCTCATGGATTGAAGGCAGTGTCATATAGTAATTAAAATGAAGGTTACTTGGTTTGTCAGAGCCTCTATTTCATGATCTATAAAATGGTACTGACTGTGCCTCTATTTCACCCAGCTCTTATTAAATCAATTAACATTTGTGAAGAGGCTAGCCTTGCACTCCCCATGGCAGATATTATGGACCACAGCAGGTGTTTAAAGGTAAGCAACTCCCATATAATTCCACACAACTTTCACTCGCAATATCCAGGAAAGCAGCAGCGCAATTACACAGTCCTGTCTGGAAACACATTCTGAGTTTTTGAAATAAATGCAGGCTTGAGGTGGTAGCTCTCCCTAGGGCTCCTCTCCTCCCATCTACCAGCTGCAGAAGCTCTAATAAATATACTATCTCACCAAAGAATAGAGAGTGCTTTTCAATGACTATTCCTTCCATCACTGTTTTTTTATTCTGATCTGCTTGGCAACACTTATCAAGAAAATATGCAGCAGCAGAGGGTCCATGAAATTAGACACAATCTACGACAGCCTAAGGCTGGCAATAATCAGATGTTTCAGGGAACTCCTGTGGGGAATGCCCCATATTTCACCACAGATATTATTCTACTTCTGGAATATTTGGGACCAGAAGTTATAGAAACTAGAGGCTATTGAGCTGGTGGTGTGGCAGAGTAGGGTAAGGAGAAGTCATTGAGAAAATAAACAGATCTGTGAAGGCTGGCACTTTGGCAAAGCCCTGATGTTAACAGTGTGAGGCTTCTTCGTTAAGAGTTTCAAGGATAAAAATGTTATATCAAGGGTTGGCAAACATTTTCTGTAAAAAATCAGATAGTAAATATTCTAGACTCTGCGAACCACATGGTCTCTGTAGCAATTACTCGACTCTGCTGCCGTGAGAAAGCAGCCACAGATAACAGGTGAATGAATGGGTGAGGCTGTGTTGCAATAAAACTTTATTTATAGAAACAGATACAGAACCTTGTATTTGTTAGGAAATTCCCAAAATGAGGTCTCTCATTTCTGCAAAAGCCTGCTGGACTGACTTCAAGGCCCCCTGTAGGTGGTGCTCTGCCTAGAATGTCCCTCTCCTCAGGCCTTCTGGTTGTCACTTTTCTTGTGCCCAGTTAAAGCCCTCTCCCTTCTTTCTGTAAGACTCAGCTCAAGCATTATCTCTCTGAGAAACAGTCCTGAGTTCGGATTTGGATCTGCCCTTCTCTGGGTTTCCCTTGGCCTCCTGCTCACGTCTCCTACCACAGTGAGCAAGGCCATTATTTTCTTTCTATCTGTCTGCCTCCTCTCTTAGTGCATAAGGAGCCTGTGGGCATGTCTTCCTGCTGGGTCTCTGGGAACTCAGTCAGTGCTGTTTGACTGCATAAACACAGGCATGTTCCTGCCTGTCCCGGGGCCTGACTCCTCCACTCAGGGAGAACTGGACTGAGCAGAGATTCCAGCTAGGGAGGGGTTTTTGCTTTTCCTGGGATTGGCAGTTTGTCAGCTAACCCAACACTCCTCTGCAATTCCATGGTTTTATGACAAATTTTCTCTCCATTATTTAGTTACTTAGTGATGGGTCTGAACAGACAAGAAACTTCCAAAGGTTTAAGGGTGCTCAAGTCTTTGGGGCAGTAGGGGTCTGTGAGTGGAGAAACAAGAAGTCTCAGCCTTCCTAGCATGGGGCAGAGCTGCTCCCTGAATCTCACCAGGAATAACATGAGCAAAACCCTCTATCTCAACACAGCTTCTTAGAGGATAGCTCCTCATTTTGTTTCTATTGCAATGACAAAAGTTCAACACATGTTTTTATTAGTTTGTATCCATGGAGGACTCTCCTACCTGTGGAAAAGCTTCTAGGTTTGGTTAAGAAACACAAATTCAGGTCCAAAAGGCTTCATGTTATTGCTTTTTGGGGAGCCTGAGCCTTACTATACACAGGTCTCTTCAAAGGAGGGAGAAAGACCCTGCCAACATATGTTACTGGAATGTTCTCCTGGCTGTTTAGCCCAAGTTCTTTCCCCCATGACAATTTTTTTAAATGGTGAAAGGGCAAGGGAAAATAAAAATGCTGATGTAAGCAGTGAAGCTCAGCTCTTACTACTGTTTAGGATTCAGTTTCATCCCTTATTCTTACACCAGCCCAAGTTGCAACATCTTTCCCCTGAAACTTCACCTCTGTGTGATTCTACAGCGTTGGCAACCAGGCATTACACAGAAGGCAGATTATGCAGTTGTGAAGGTTCTGTTGCTTCACCAGCCACTGTGCCCACACAATGTGGTGGGTGCTCAAATACTGGGTTTAATCTAAGAGAACAAACACTTTTCCAGTCATGAAAATGCTGGAGATTTAGGAAGAACACATATACTGCAGGATCAGAAGCGGCACGAGATGTCACAAACATATACAGTGGAGGTGTTCCCGTCAAGTATGCAGTCAGATTCTCCCTGACAGTACACGTATCCAGAGAGACACCCATGGAGGGAGACAGTAGCATTTCAAATATACATTAAAAGCTACGGGGGCAAAGAGGGATGGAACCAGATAGTTGTGTGTGTGTGTGTGTGTGTGTGTGTGTGTGTGTTAAGCTCTTGCTTTCCGTGGCCTCTGAAGAAGTAAGGAGAGTAAGGAGAGACAGGACAGAAGGAAATGGAATTATGAACTCAAAGGGACA